AAAAGTGCTGAAATGAAAAATCAATATTTATTTGACTGATGAAAGAGAGGGAAAGAGATCAACAATGTGATCGATCTGATAACCCTAGTTAACTTCTTTGGTGTGATGACGAAAAATAAAGGACACAGATTGGTCATTTACTGAAGTGATAACAGCACACATTAATCAATTTATCTACTGATAATTTCATGATATTTCAATATATTTACAATGATAAGTAACTTGTCTTTTATATTTCATTCATGATCGTAGCCTTTATTCATTCGTAGAGGAGTACGAGTAATCGTTGAGAGGGGGGCTACACTGCCCCCCCCCTCAAATAAAATTGTTTCCCATGAGGGAAAGGCTACACTGCACCCCTTCAAAGAGCAGTGCTGCCATTCAGGGCCTTACAACATGTGAATATTTCATTTACAGAATAAGGACATTTTAAGATCAATCTTTTCTCTGTTGACACTTATTCTATTAACCTCCATTTTAGATAACCTAGTATCCTCACATTAGGGCAGCAAGATGCCCGAATATATCTTATAATTTTTATATCGAAATTACATTTTTACCACGCTCGTTTGCTCTTCTCTCTCAGAACATTTAAAAACAGGATGATTCTGGACAACGAGATGCCCGAACATCTCTATATTTTGTGTATCGAGGTGACCGAATGTATGACTTTTGTATTCATGTATCGGGTAAAGAGGTGCCTGCTTACATAATATTATATCTTATCTAGTGTGTTTTCTGGAGACAATAATATTGTATCATACTAGAAACTTCATTGTTGTGTTTTTGTTGCTCCTCGCTTTGCTCGATTAACAAATTTTAGAAACAAACTGTGTCCGTTCGTGTGAACATGGCACTTGATGTGTACCAGAGTAATGAAGGGGAAACGTTCTGTAATTAATTCGGGATTACGTCGACGTGAAACTCTTTATGTCCCCAAAAGGTGCCGTGACTATAACATGGTTGATAAATGCTGCTTTATACGACTGAAGTAGGTTGTGTCGATTGTGAGGAAGGGCTACAGCGCATCCGTGTAAAGAACTATGTTATATGAACATGTAGTCAAGCACCGAGTCTAAGGAAACTTGGAAACAATTCTACATACATTTTATACAGTGCGTATTCCGAAAAAGTGTACCCAAATTTGGTAGCTCCTGATCTACTTCATGAGGAAGAATACTTTGTTTTCCGTCAAATTATACCATATTCAAATTAGTTTTGCCACGTGTGACTGAACACTAGGGTCTTTAAAACGTGTAGTCGAAATCGCCTTGTACCAAGTTTAGGCTGATGGAAAGAATGTGAGTCAGGCAAAATGCATGTGCTTCTTTGGTCTGAAATACTTTTAAAAGTAAAAATATGCCTCGTGCTTCATTTCTTCATCGTTTAAGGTGCTTATCTCGAATAGTGAATAAAAACTCAAATGTTACTAAACCCAAATGCTAGTAAAACCACATTTGATGATAAGTATCTAGGAAATTGACAGTAGACTTTCATAAAAAAGACAACATCCCAAATGAGCTTTATTCATTTTGTATCACTCAATGAGAAGGGATATCTTAAACCAGGGGTGCGAATATTCATAATATATTCGTAATATTCATTTCTTTGAGTTTCAGTTGACATATTCAGTTGATATAAGAAGATTTTGACAATACTTTTTCAAAAGCCTGCTGCTTAGTCATCCGTGGCAGCACAATTATGAATATTGTATCTTTAGACAGGGTATAATTTATCATTAGCCATGAATAATGATTCAAAGTCACATAGATTATAACTCTTTTAATTAGAAGCTACTAAAGTTCGGTACACTTTTTCTTTACACACACTGTATATCCAAGTTGATAATATTGCTAACTACTGGGTTTCATTGTTCATTTTTTAGCACAGTTGGTTAAATCACAAAGCGGGAATACAAGTTATTTATCGACAGATAAATGATAAAGTTCGAATAGGCTTACGTTTACCGCAAATCAACTCATATTACAAAACGTGTCCAGCAGCAGACTATTTCCTTTTTTCCTGTTTACGTTGCCTTCAACCCCATCGAGATTCGTCCCCGTTCTTCATATTCCGTGGACCTTAAATATTAAGGTGAACAGGTGAGATAAAAGTATTTCATAATGTTCATTAAAATTCTAGTTAGTTGTGTTTACTAGATTATAAGAGAAAGATGGATATCCTTTGGTACACTAGTGTACCGTCTCTTTGGAGCCAAAAAATACGCCCTTTTTCTATTTAAAAAAAAATTGGAATGGGGATAATAGTAGAATTCTGCCGAGTAGAATTTTAAACAGAAAAGGAAAGTATAACACTATTTTACATATTTGAAACATCATAATCAAGACTGAAGACCTAGGGAAAGCTATCTTTGATACTAAATCAGCATATCACGAGAAACCGCAAGGACTCGGCTAAAAATACGCAATTAAGATTCCTAGAACGTAATATTGAATAGAAGAAAACCTCATTGTAAACAATTTTCGAGGCCGATATATAAAGAGGCTTTAATTTCAATGGCTCATTTAATGGAAATTTACTGCAGAGAGTCAATACCGCGAAATATATTGGTGTACTAATTGATGAAGAATTGAGTTGGTCCAGACACGTTGTCAAAACAATAAAAGGAAAGCAAAGAAATGTCGGTGTAATAAAACGGACAAAGGAATATTTACTAATAATATCTATAAAGTATCTGTATAATGCATTTATGGTGCCTCCCTTTCATTACTTTGTTTTTTGTTTACATGTTCGCCTTTTTTGAAAATATAATTTGCACTTATTAAACCGCATATCAACAAATCATAATGCGTTTTTTTTTTTAAATGGACCCATTATTTGGAATAACCACCCAACTAACCTCAAGAACAGTGAGACTGCAAAACAATTCAAACGATTAGTTAAAAAGCCGCTCTTGGACTCATAAATGATGAATATTTTGTTTGTATTTCCTTTTTTTTCTTCCTTGCCTTTTGAATTGAATTGAATTGAATTGAATTGAACTTTATTTCATTCATCATAAAAACATCATAACAAACATATAAAATACAAAACATAGCGTACATATTAAAGAGAAACATTTACAATACAAATACAACAACAAAAATATATATAAATGTGGAGACGGCTAGAAAAGCCAAAGGCTTTATTGGTGCTGCCAATTTGATGTTATGTTTTTCCTGTTATGATTTTTTTCTTACAATGTTAGATAGGTAATGTGTATACTTGTTAAGGGGTCATTTCCAATGAGCCAACTAGTGCTTTTTATGATCCTGCCACTTTTATTCATATGTATTTGTTATTGATGTGTAAATTGTTTTTAAAGTGGAAATAAATTGAATTGAATTGAATATTAAATATTAGTTTGTATCCTATCTTTGCGCCGAATGGTAAGCTAAGAGAAAATAGTCACGTTCCGAGTAATTAAGGTTCCTCTGTGTGTCAGAGAAAAAGATAGAGGGGCAGCAAAAAGAGGGAAAAGTAGTTAACAGGCAGAATTTCGCTACTTTTAGACAAATTACTATAATATTGAAAAACGTCTGTATTAACCTTTAATGTTAGATAGGATCTTCTTTGCAGCATGATACAAACTGTTCAAATGCTATAGATGAAAATAGTCCCCATGCCTGCTTTAGTATAGAACGATACGGCTCATACGTACTACACGCTTTGTCAAAACGTCAGACCAACACCCGCGTACTAACCTTAATTTTACCAAAATATAAAGTAATTCAATAGGCTTTGTGTCAGTCCTGGATGGATGAACCTTATTTACAAGGCCATGCATTCACAGCATGAAAGACGATTTTCTATTTTTTTTTAAAATCTATTATGATAAGAGGCCAGTTTGCCCCCTTGTGGTAATAAACACAATTCTGTGATTGTCATAGAGTGCTGAAAAGAAAAAGCAATAGTTCTTTGGCTGATGAAAGAGAGGGAAAGAGATCAACAATGTGATAAGCGATCTGATAACCCTAATTTACTTCTTTGGTGTGATGACAGAAAGATAAGGGACCCAGATTGGTCAATTACAAATATTTCCAACTCATTTTCAATAGATTTGGAAGGATTACAGCAAACTAAATCAATTTAAATAAAGATAATTCCTTAAGCTTTCAATATGTTCACATAAATCCGAAAAATGTACCCAAATTCGGTAGCTCCTAATCTACTTCGTAAGGAAGAGTACCTTGTTTTCCGTCAAATGATACCATATTCAAAATATTTTTTCAATGGGTGACTGAGTACTAGGGTCTTTAAGACGTGTGGTAGAAATTGCCTTGTACCAAGTTTAGGCTGACGGAAAGAATGTGAGTCAGGCAAAATGCATGTGCTTCTTTGGTCTGAAATACTTTTAAAAGTAAAATTATGCCTCGTGCTTCATTTCTTCATCGTTTAAAATGATGCAATGTTCTAGGCTTTCACAGAAACTAGGATAACCGTGAATATTTTGAACAGCCTACTAACTCCGTGTCTAATGATATTTAAGTTCTCTCTGCTCACTTGTCCATTCCGTCATTTCACATGGAGCATAAGGTGCTTATCTCGAATAGTGAATAAAAACTCAAATGTTACTAAACCCAAATGCTAGTAAAAACCACATTTGATGATAAGTATCTAGGAAGTTGACAGTAGTCTTTCATAAAAAAAAGACAACATCCCAAATGAGCTTTATTCCTTTTGTATCACTCAATGAGAAGGAATATCTTAAACCAGGGGTGCGAATATTCGTAATATATTCGTAATATTCATTTCTTTGAGTTTCAGTTGACATATACAATTGATATAAGAAGATTTTGACAATACTTTTTTTTAAAAAGCCTGCTGCTCAGTCATCCGTTGCAGCACATTTATGAATATTGTATCTTTAGATAGGGAATAATTTATCATAAGCCATGAATAATGATTCAAAGACACATAGATTATAACTTTTTTAATTAGAAGCTACCAAAGTTCGGTACACTTTTTTCTTTATACGCACTGTATATCTAAGTTGATAATATTGCTAACTACTGGGGTTCATTGTTCAGTTTTCATCCAGGTGCCCTTTCGGCACAGTTGGTTAAATCACAAAGCGGGAATACAAGCTATTTGTCGACAGATAAATGATAAAGTTCGAATAGGCTTACTTTTACCGCAAATCAACTCATATTACAAAACGTGTCCCGCAGCAGACTATTTCCTATTTCCCTGTTTACGTTGCCTTCAACCCCATCGAGATTCGTCCTCGTTCTCCATATTTTGTGGACCTTGAATATTAAGGTGAACAGGTGAGACAAAAGTATTTCATAATATTCATTAAGATTCTAGTTAGTTGTGTTTACTAGATTATAAGAGAGTGATGGATATCCTTTGGTACACTGGTGTATCGTCTTTTTGGAGACAAACAAATATTCATGAAAAAACATAGTTAATGCCCTTAGCTCCAAAAGATGAAATTAGAATGGAGACCAAAGTTGATCTGCCGAGTCTTGTTTTAAACAAAAAATGAAAATATCACACTATTTTACACATTTCAAACATCATTATCAAGGCTGAAGACCTAGGGAATGCCATGTTGGATACTAAATCTTCATATCACGAGAGACCACAAGGACTCGGATAAAAATTGCCAATTATGATTCCCAGAACGTAATTTTAAACAAAAGAAAACACACTGCAAACGATTTTCTAGAACCCTATTATATATGAGGACTATGATGTCAATAACTCTGTTAATAGAGATTTACTGAAGATAGTCAAAACCGCGAAATGTCTTGGGTACTAATTGATGAAGAATTTAATTGTACCAAACACGTTGACAAAATGTCAAAAGTAGCGCTTAATAATGTCTGTTTAGTAAAAACGGGCAAAGGAATATTTACCATTAATATCTAAAATGTAGATGTATAATGCATTTGTGTTGCCTTCCTTTCATTATTTTTATTTTAAATCCTATCACTGCACCGGATGAAATGCTAAGGTAAATAAAAAGTCACATTGCGAGTCAGGTTCCTCTGAATGGTCAGTTCAATATTAGGAACACAAATTAACTCCAGAAAGCCCAAAAGGGAGCTGCGAGAATTTTAAAGCAAGGCTACGAGACCCAATGATGTGCATTGTTTAGTACTCTAAAATGGATGCCAATCGATCAGCGTTTCGAATTTCAACGCGCTATATGATGTACAAGTGCACACATACATTGGCACTATACAAGAAGGTTAAATTAACTTAAGTGAAATTTATTAGAATTATTCGCGGCAGGCAGATGCAGGATTACTTTCAGTGCCAAATTATAAATCAAAATGTTTTAAACGTACCCACTCGTGTCTTCAATAACAGTTTTTAATCATTTGGACAAATCGTTAAGAATAGCAAGCTCTGTGAACACATTTTAATACATGTTCAAACGATCTTGTAATATCCGTTCCCAATAGTAAATACCAATAGGATTCAATTCCGTCTAAAGTTGAACTCTAACTTTAATTTATGCTCATATTTCAAAGCATTTATCTTGTATGAATCGCATAATTGATTTGTGTTGCGTTTCATAGTTCTCATAATGAAGGATGACATGTCGCTTTGCATATGGAATGAATGGCATAATTCGCTATCAGTATGAAATATATATGTTCATTCGAATTTAGCTCGTATATTTAAATGCTATATTAATAAACGTTTATTATTTTACAAGGATTTCATCTAATATATATGCTATGTAAATATGTATAGAAAACAACTTTTGGTATCTCAAGTGTGGATCTTTTTTGAGCCAAGATCGTCTTTTTGCTTTCTTTATTGGCTTCAGAAACTATATGAGGTTATCAACAACAAAAAATGTTTAAAAAAATGATGATTATATTATTCATTGATTTAAAAACAGATTAGATCTAAACATGTTATACGATATGACAAATATGCAACAGTACTTTTGTTGGACAATTCCACACTTATTTAAAAGATAAACAAAACATACAAATATACATGTTTAGACTTACTTTCTTCTGTGTTTTTTCTGATATTGTTTTTAGTTTATATTCACGATTTTTTAAGCATTTTTTGTTATCAAACATGGTCTCATGATAGACCAACCCTGTATTAATGTCCGAAAAAAATAATGAATACATCTGTAATAATTTCCAACATTTTTTGTTTTATTGTGCAATATAAGAAAAATAATTTTAAAATTGTATTCTCAAGATCTAAAGTAATAACAGAGTCATAATACAAAATCCCTCTGATGTACGTATCTTTAGGTGAATCTAACTTGACTTTAAAAGTACAAATCTGGTATGAAATGGTGTTGATATTTTCTGCCAAGCCTTACTTTTTTAATGAATATACAAAGAGAGTATTGAAGTAAGTGTCCTTTTGTTATATATGTTAAAACTTTCAACAAACCGTGCTCGTTTATCTTATTTTTAATGTTCCTTTGGCAGATGTTCTCTTCTCCCACAAAATTTGACTGAATATGTTATTGTTGTTGTTTGGTATTATCGGCGTTTCATTCTTTTTTTATAATATTTACGCCTTTCACTTTATTTTATACTATTTGTAAATTTGTAATGTTCTAAATCATATTTTTGTGATAATATAATCTCAGATCCACCCCAGCCTTTTTCTCCCCCCCCCCCCCCCCCCCCCTCTACCACCCAAACCCATCCCGTAAAGAATAAGGGTTTGTGATATGAAGAAATATAACTCAAAATCAATCCATTTCCCTGCTACAAAAATGTGATTTGTACTAACTTAGTTTATCTAATCACAAAATGTAAACTATTATTTCACATAGTTTCTGCATTCATGAATATGACGAGTGTATATAAAGCAATTTTTCATTACTGTATCATTATATGGAAACAAATCTATTGGACAGTGACAATAGTTTGTCCTATAGACAATGAAGTTAGGACGAATGGTGTAACTACTGGACAAGGGCATCATGCATGCTACCATGCTACCCCTTTATTAAACTACAGTGGCTCCCGTTTGCTAACAGAATCACTGGATAGTTGTCTAACTCTCAGATCTGTATAGCCCTCACATTCGTTTTTACATCTCGTCTCTCTTCCAGGAACATTTACATCGGCTCCTCCCTTTCTCATTCCCGAATGCCCCAAACATGCGACCAATAAATTACTTTCAATCCTTTGCCCTATTGCTTTCGAACAACCTCCATTTTTCAAAATTTTGCTTTAAAACGAGGGACATCGTCATTAGAAAATGAGTAGTAAAAGTCGTAGAAGTTGTAGTTGTAGTAGTAGTGGTGGTGGTGGTAGTAGTATTAGTAGAAGAAGTAGTATAGAAGTAGTAGAATAGAAGTAGTAGTATAGTAGTAGTAGTAGTAGTATAGTAGTAGTATTAGTAGTAGTAGTAGTTGTAGTCGTAGTAATGGTGTCAGTGGGATGATGGTAGTAATAGAAGTTTAGTAGAAGTAGTATTGAAGTAGAAGTAGTAGTTGTGGTGGTGCTGCTGCTGGTGGTAGTGTTAGTACTAGTATAAAAAGGAGTCGTAGTAGCAGTTGAAGTAGCTGACATAATGGTAGGACGAGTTACATAAACAGGGTAGGCGATACAATTCAAACAAAAAACAAAAAACAAACCCATGAATCATGAATACACTAGTTTTATACCATTCAATCATTAATGCCGTTACAATGTAAGTACATAGGATGGACCGATAGGTACAAGTTTATGAATAAAATGTGCAAAGTACAATATACTGAAAACAATGCTAATACGAACAATTTAGATTTAAGCTATTAATACTAAAATCTTTGTTACCAAATATATATGGAAATCAATATTTAGCCCAGAGGTAGAAAGATTGGGAAGATTTTTGACTTGTGTAATGCAGTCATAACACGCAAACGACAAGAAATCAGTGTCGGGTTATTTATACTATATGATATTTAAATAATTAGAGTGATTTATCGGAGATTGTCTTTTACTCTTAAAGGTGTATCGAACGTGTAACAGTTGAAAAAAAAAACTGATGATAAAATATGACTCAATTAACTCCAGATTTAGTAAAGATTGGCAGTTTTGGGTGAAAAGAGACCCCCCCCCCCCCATATAAATGTGGAAAAAGAAAAAACTTAAAGAGAAAAGATAGAGAGGCAGCAACAAGAGGGGGAAGTAGTTTAAAGGCAGAACTTTGCTACTTTTAGACAAATTACTATAAAATTGAAAAGCGTCTGTATTAATCTGAAATATTAGCAAGGATCTATCCTACAGCATGATGAAAACTGTTCAATGCCATACTCGAAAATAATCCACTCGCCTGCTCGGCTAAAGAAGGGTAGGGCTCATATACTACACGCTTTAGAAAAACTTCAGACCAAAATCCGGCGTACTAACCTAATTTTACCAAAATATAAAGCAATTCAATAGGCTTTGTGTCAGTCCTGGATGGTTGAACCTTATTTACAAAAAACCGTGCATTCACAGCATGAAAGACGTTTTTCTATTTAAAAACACAATCTATTATGGTAAGAGGCCAGTTTGCCCCCTCGCGGTAATAACCCCAAGTTTGTGTTTCCCATAACAATGACAGAGGGCTGAAATGAAAAAGCAATATTTCTTTGACTGATGAAAGCGAGGGAAAGCGATCAACAACGTGATATGAAATCTGATAACCCTAATTTACACGTTTGATGTGATGACGGAAATAAGAGACACAGATTATTCATTTACCGAAGTGATTACAGCAAAATGAAAACAATTTATATACTGATAATTCCATGATCTTTCAATATATTTATGATGATACGTAACTTTTCATTTATGTTTCATTTATGACCGTAGCCTTTGATTATTCCTGGAGAAGTACGAGTAATCGTTGAGAGGGGGGCTACACTGCATCCTCCCCTCCCCCTCAAATAAAATTGTTTTTCATGAGGGAAAGGCTACACTGCACCCCCCCCCCCCCCCTTCAAAGAGCGGTGCTGTCATTCAGGCCTTACAACCTGTGAATATTTAATTTGCATAATGAGGACATTTTAAGATCTATCCTTTCTATGTTGACACTTCCCGTGAAAAAGTGATAGAGTTCTCAGTATTTCACCTTTACAAGAATTCGTCCTCCTCAGTCTATAAATAAACAGTTAGTAAAACGATATTACATGCTATCTGTGACTTTCATTAAAATCCATTTCATCTAACCTAATGATAACTTCCATAACAATTATGACACAAATAAAAGAAATAATATTGCTCTCATTCATTACTTAAAAATGGCCTTAATAAAGTACTTTATTGTGTACAACTGTTGTCAATTCAAGTATGGAAATGATTGCACTTTTAATGGGCAAACCCTGTAAAGCAGTCAATTGCTGCTTAAGAATGGCAAGCATCGTCACCGTGCCCAAAAGTAGTATTCGTTCAATGTATAATTTCACTCTTGTTAAACATTATGTACCTAACGGCTGTACTTGTTAAAGGACCTAAACACTCATAAAAGACAACCAGTCCACTCTACTAAATTTTAAACCGGGTTGAAATTGTTCCTTTTTACATAAACTTAATGAAGAAAAAATAAATTGATAGCCTCTGTATATAGGATATTGCATGATATTTCTTTCAACATCAAAGTACTTCAAGAAAAAGCCTTTTATATTTAATTGTTGCTTCAACTATACATAACAAATCTGGTTGTGCGTGTGTGGGTGGGCGTAAAATGGTGGTGATATGTCTATGTATTGTGTGTGTACTTTGATTTTTCAGGAGAAGATAAATGAGTAGGGGTGTTAATGTGGTGTGGGTGTGGGTGTGTATTTTTAAACTGATAATATATTATATTAATATAACTAGGCTCTCACAGAAACTTGTTTTAATCCATAAGATATCATTTTAGTCTACAAGATAACCTTAAATTATGTTGAACAGACTACTAACTCCTTGTCTAATGATATTCAAGTTCTCTCTGCTCGCCTGTCCATTGTGCCATTTCACACGAACAACATAAGGTGTTTATCTCGATTAGTGAATGAAAACACAAATGTTACTAAATAACAGTAATAATATTAAATTTGTATATAGCGCTTAACACAAATGTCACTAAGCGCTTTACAAATATACTAAACCCAAATGCAAGAAGAAAAGAACATGTGATGGTATCAAAGAAATTGACAGTAGACTTTCAAAAATAAAAGATAAAGCTTAGATTTAAGCTATTAATACCGGAATCTACATGACCAAATATGTAAAAATTGACTCAATTAACTCCAGGTTCCGTAAAGATTGGTGGATGTGCGTGAAACGGACTACCCCCGCCCCACCCACATTAATGTGGAAAAAGAACCAAACATGAAGAGAAAAAGACAGAGGGGCAGCAAAAAGTTGGGAAAGTAGTTTAAAGGCAGAATTTTGCTACATTTAGACAAATTAATATATAATTGAAAAACGTCTGTATCAATATTAAATATTAGCTAGGATCTATTTTGCAGCATGATGACAGCTGTTCAATGCCATAGTTGAAAATAGTCCCCATGTCTGCTATGGTATAGAACGGTACGGCTCATGTACTACACGCTTTGTCAAAAATTCAGTCCAAAATCCGACGTACTAACCTAATTTTACCAAAATGAAAAAGTAATTCAATAGGCTTTGTGTCAGTCCTGGATGGATGAACCTTATTTACAAGGTCATGCATTCACAGCATAAAAGACGATTTTTTTTTTATTTTTTTTTTTAAATCTATTATAATAAGAGGCCAGTTGCCCCCTCGTAATAATAACCCCAGGTTTGTGTTTCCCATAACAATGACAGAGTGCTGAAATGAAAAGGCAATATTTCTTTGACTGATGAAAGAGAGGGAAAGAGATCAACAACATGATATGAAATTTGTTAACCCTAATCTGATAACCCTAATTTACTTGTTTGGTGTAATGACAGGACTCAGAATTTTAAAAACATATAATTTCCAACTCATTTTCATTAGACTTTGAAATGACTACAGCAACCTAAATCAAATTTAATACAGATAATTCTTTAATCTTTTAATATGTTTACATGAATACGTAACTTTGCTTTTATGTTTTATTTGTTACCACGACCTGTAAAACATTCCCGGAGGAGTACGAGTACTCATTGAGAGGGGACTACACTGCAGCCCCCCCCCCCCCCTCATAAAATAGCATTGTTGCCCATAAGGGAAGGGCTACACTGCACTTCTGTAATGGGTAGAGATGTCATCCAAGGCCTTAGTTTCAACCTGTGAATAATTGTTAATAATTTTATACCCAAGTCGACTTTTTCATTAATCCTTTTCGTTTCTGAAAGTTTGAAGCCACCTTGTCACACTCGATTAAGTGACAAAAGCGGGAATAGATTATAGTCCACGCATCTGTATCTATATTCAATATATCATATGGTATCACTTTATTAATATCTCCTGCACTACATTACATGCAAGAATTTCGCCTTTTTTCCTGCTAGAGGTTCTCTTTATTTTACAGAGCTGTTTGACCTCGCGAAGGTGAACAAGTGAGAGCAAATTTGTCATAACAATTGTTACATGGAGATAAAGTTAAGATCAATCGACAAAGAATAGAGCACAGTAGAAGGTGGGCCATAGTTAGCATGCGAGTGAAAAGTTGAAAAGAGGATCTGTTTACCCTTGCTGATAATTTTGCCATCACTACGTAAATTATAATAATAATCAAAATTTCATTAAAACGTTTACTTGTTAAACTCATCTATCTGGATAATGTCAAAACACTTTTAACTTAGAGAGGATTTATTTTCTGCCCTTTTTTATGTATGCTGCTCAATAATTTTTATATCAAAACTGAGATATGTTTGAGTTTGATAGGCAAAGTGTAAATAATAATACTAACAGTAATAATAGGCATTCCTATAGCGCCGTCATACCAAAAGACGTTAAAAGACGGGAGTTTCTGCTACCTTGTTTGGCGTTCAACAATAAGGGATAGAGCAACGTCGATCTGGCGCTGCTCAGTGGCTGCCGGGCTCACGATCAATTGCGCAAAAAGAATTTCGATTTCCGGTTTAACTTAATAAATTACCATTTACCTCACCACAAATCCAAGAGTTGATTAATCTTCATTTGCCACTCTCAACCCAGGTATAATAATAATAATAATAATAATAATCCGGTTTTTTATATAGCGCTCAATACACCGATCCAACGATGTACCTAAGCGCTTTACAGATATATTATATAAATGTGTACCTGAAAGTTGATGGGATAAAGATAACTGCGGGGTCACAAAGAGAAGCAGTGATGATACTGATGCGGCTACTGAGGATAAATATCGAGGAGTGAAATTTAATTTTACACTTAAATCAGACTCGTTCGGGGTTTTTCTCGATCTTATTCATAAAAATGATGTCGAATTAATAGAAATAAGAAAAGGAAGGGGTGATCGAGATTCACCAAGTCGCAGTTTTTTTGAGAGTCTAAAAAGAACTGTTGGTCTTCGCCTATAGAAAAGCCCTGAAAAAAAAACTTTCCAAGTTTACGGTATTGATCCAATAAATGTGTTAATCTGTCTCAACCCATATTAAATAATATGCTTTGGTCATCGTTAGGAGATGAAAGAAAACAAGTTACATGTACCTAACTTTCTTATATCAAATTTCAAATTTCGAATACTTCCTGATAATATGTTCTTCAGCATCCAATATTGTAAAGGTATATAGAGTATAGAGTATTTTACCAAACCCAGTACTTTTATATAACCTGAATATGGTTTATAAATCTCAAAGCTAAAATAATGACAGCTTATTGATGTAGTTCCTGAATAAGTAAGTAAGATTGTATGTACGTACTTCTTATTCATCATCTAGCATGTCCTCAATGAGTGAACAAGATTTCTGGCGTGTTTTGACACACATTGCTGAAAATATGAAGACAGATGAGGAAACTGGCAAACTAGGATTGGAACTGGGAATCCCACAATACGATATCGATGGCTCCAAGGTCGCAAACCGACACGGTATAGTTTACGAAGGGACCTTTAATATGCTCAAAAAATGGTCGAGGCTACAACATCAGGAAACGAGCTTAAGGATCTTAAGACAAGCCTTGGAGAGGGTCGGCAGGATAGACCTATGTGAAAGCATGGACCGCGGTGAGAGTACTTCTTCAATACCTGACGTTGCTGGTAAGTATTGTGTAGAGGTGTCGTGCTATAGTGGTTTGTTCACTTGACTCTAAATCCAAGGATTGGGGGTTCGAATTCCTAACCGGCAATAACGTGTAATGTGGTAAGGCATTGATCCACATTTGCCACTCTCCACCCAGGTGTAAATGGGTATCCGACATGCCCCAGCGTTACATATATAGAAGCACGGCGTGATGGACATGTGCGTGTTATAGAAAGTCATCATTAGTTATCATTATTATTACAAGCCATGTACTTCTCTAGGGCAAGATAGTGGTTGATCTATTTACAGTGCACATGTATGCAATAGCGAACCTAATAATAACAAGTGTTCTTTCCGTTGAAGTAGTTTGTCGATATATGATTTTACGTGGTCCTTGAACAATTTCAGTTCTGATGGCCGAGGGGCAATTTGTTGGCAATACATTTGTCTATTAAACGCCCAAATGACGCCTGGTAGGCATATGAAAACAAATGTTGAACTAACTGTCCAAACCTCTTATGTGATACCTGTGTTTAGGAGTTCCGAGGGGCATAGAATCCTTTTTTTTAATGTGACCTTTGCAATTTAAATATATGTTACATTAAAGTGACTCGGTAACATCGTTGAAGGTTGATGAAAAAACTGCGTAATTTGTGTATGAAATGTTACTTATCATATTCCTCTTACATGCAAACAATCCTGAAAACATTCTCAAACCACAAACATATTTATGATTTTTATTTTCTAAGGCGCCACTGTGTGACACCCTCTAACAGTAAATTCTACCAACCATTTATGAATTTTCCCAACCGTTTTTCCATGAAAATAAGACATATGACAAGCTTTGTAAACAAAAATTACATCTAGCATTGAAGTCATTACCATCTTATCTCATCTGAACAATGTTACCAAGTCCTTACATTATTGTTTTGATGTGAATGAAGGAGTTTGGAGAGTGTCGAACAGACTTTCATAAATGATCGGTGCTTTATATTGCTCACCCACAAAGATGTCATTCTAAAATTATTATTCTTTCGAATCCCAGTAATTTTGCGTGCAGTGGATCTGCCGCTGGCGCAGTAGCGGCTCGCTGGCAAACTTCCATCCCGCCAGCTCCCTTACACAGAAGGTGCGTGTTCCGCGGAAAGTGTGGTGGAAGGTTTGTGTGCGAGATGCGATTTCGGTTTGGGATTTCCGATTTTCGTGAAATTTACGATTTATTTATTTATTTTCTCATCAGTATTTTTATTTACATTGAGTTTGAGTTTGAGTTTAGTTTCTTTATTTCACATAAAAAAAACAATACATTAACAAAACATAGCATATTTACAAAATTTTGTTTGTTTTGCATTTACACTAAATAATTTCGAAATTACATGTGAAAAAAGGAACTTACATGTAATAAAGAGCAGGCACGTACGCAAGGGGGATTTCGGTTTAACCCCCCCCCCCCCCCCCCCTTTGATATTTTTTTTATTTTTTTTTTAAATCCTAATGGATGACCTAAAAAAGGTAACCTTACCCTCCCCCCTCCTCAACGAACGTAATGCCTATCAGTCAAATGTTAAAATTTCGGGACCCCCCAAAAAAAATCTTCCCCCCCCCCGCTTATTCAGCGGCTGGCTGAGTCGTTGCGAAATTTTTGTGACCAAAAAAAAAAATATATGTCCTCTTACCACCCCCACCCCCCCCCCCCACTTATTCAGCGGCTGGCTGAGTCGTTGCGAAATTTTTGGCCCGATTCCAAAATGTTAAACCCCCCCCCCCCCCCTTTAAAAAAATCATGCGTACGCCACTGATAAAGAGAATATACACTGTAAAAAGAAAAATGGGCAGATGCTACTGGGTAATATCGATTTTGGAAAAATCTTGTCCGAAAATTGGCTCATTTTCCCCCAACCATTCGCTATAAGAAGTTACCTATTAAAAGGTTAAAAAATTGGTTGGGTCGGTGTTACTTGGCAAATCGATGTTGGGCAAATGTTGTCCAATAATTGGGTTATTTTCTACCAACCATGTATTTACCGATGAAATAATTGTTATTGGGAAAATTAAAGTTGGGCCATTTTTGTCCAACAATTGAGTTATCTTTTCTACATGTAAAGTTAGCCAATTAAATGTTCCAAACTAAATGGGCACTATTGTCCTTCGATATATATCATGTATAATATTTTATCAAACGTATTTGCCCAACTAGTGTCTAATATGCTACACATTATGGTGAGAATCGGGTGAATTTCTGATTCGGTATATTTTTGTTGGTTAAAAGTTGGGTATTTTCTTTTTATCCAACAGTGGGTAAATCATGCAAAATCTTTAATTTACCCAACAGTTGGTTGGACACATAATCGCCTTCATGTTGGGTAAAAATTGGGCAATTTTTTGCCCAACATTTTTCTAGAGTGTAGCTTGTAAAATTTAAGTTCCTCGAAATAATTTTGACACAGTGTCATTTATAATGAGGTAGAAGTATAATAATTAAAAGCAAAGTATACAGACAAAAACAATGAAATGATTTGGATGATGGATGCAAGAAAAAAAGAAAAATAGGAAGAGAAAGTAAAGAATGGGAGTCAGAAGAAGAATGAGAAGAGAGAGAAAGAAGTATAGTTGTGCATACACGTACGAATTCAATAATAACAATTTAAAATGTTTTTTGAAGCTGCCGTAGATTTTTAAGCTGTTTGAGATTAAGATCAATGTTTAAGATCAATGTATTTTGGTTCTGTGTATGAAATTTTTTGGGGGGCAAAAACTGTCCTGGTTAGAGGAAGATGGTAGTTTGCACGTGTAGCATGTCGTGTTTGGTATGTGTGGACAGTGTAATTTGTTGTAAGGACTTCAATCGTGGCTGATGGAAGTTCTTGGCGAGACAACTGAAATTTGATTTTTATTAAACTTTAACATGTCAAAGTTTGCCTTCCGAAAAAAAAAAAGGTTCAGTGTATGCGCAATAGTAAGCATTATTTATCACGTTTATGTAAAAGAAGGATTCTATTAATATATGTGATGTCTGGATTACCCAAAGGAAGATTTCGATAATGTAAATACGACAGTATTAGCGTTGAGTAAAGAGTAAGGGAATTGAAGTCTAAATTTGTTTATAACACCAACATTTCGTGAAACAAGTCGGCAGAGTACATCGATGTGTGTTTTCCTGCATGATAGTTGTCAATGTATATTCCAAGAAATTTTGTAGATTTAACAGTCAAGGGCTGCTTCACTAATAAATACTTCTCCCGGAAGTGAGTCAATAATATTGCTAAACAACATGTAATTGGTTCTGTTCTGTTAATATTCAAGGAGAGTTTGTTTGTCTGGATCCATTCATAAATTAAAGTGAGTTCATAGTTAACATTTTTAGTAATAGTTGTGGGTCAACATGAGATAAAAATATGTTAGTGTCATCTGCAAATAAGATTAATGATAAAGTGGTAGATGCGCTTTTAATATCATTTATATATAAAATAAAGAGCAGCGGGCCGATTAACGAAGTTTGTGGTACACCACATGTAATAGGTCTGACAGTTAATTCGCAATTATTGACCGAGACAAATTGGGGCCTGTCTTGTAAGTAGTTCCTGAACCACTCCAAGGCCTTTCCTCTCACACCATAGTGCGAGAGTTTATATAATAACATTTCGTGATCTATAGTGTCGAAGGCCTTGATAATTCCATGAATATTCCAATGGTGTGTGAATAATCATCAATTGCTTGAGCGACTTTACTTATAAATATTAGCATTGCGTGAGCTGTATGGTTTTTGCGAAAACCGAATTGAGAATCAAAAAGTAAGCCACATTCTGTTAAGAATTTAATGGTGCGCGTATAAATATTCGTTTCTAAGATTTTGTAAAATGTTGTTAAAAGGGATATTGGTCTATAGTTTCCGCAGTAACGTGTATCTCCTTTTTTTTGTATATGGGTATAACCTATGCGTTCTTCATATGTGAGGGAACGAACTCATTTATATGCGATAAGATAAAAATGTGAGTTAATGGGATTACAATTTCTGAGATTACATGTTTTAAAATACTGTTCGTGATTCCATCATAGCCAGGACTCTGTGGTAGATTGTTTACTATGTCAATTATCTCTGTTTCTTGCACTGGGATTTAAAAAAATATGGATTTTGGATTTGGATTTTGAAGAAAAAATCGTGGGTGGAATAGCTCTAGCATTAAAATACTGTTTCATGTGCAAGTTGATGTTCTTAATCGTAATGACAATCTTTCTCGTTGATCTTGTCAAGATTAGGAAGTTATTAAGTTGATCGCATTCGCATTATGAAATTAACATTGTAAGTTCTAGCCTATTTAACTTGTTTAATTGGTTGTAATTATCTGTTTTTGGAAACTTCCCCATGGTTCTGGATTAATCCACGTGAACCAGGGTCAACTTTTAAAAATAAATTTCCCCTGGTTCGTAGCCGTCTTTTTTAAGGCTTAATCAACAATTATATTTTTGGTATGGAATAGTACTTTTAGGTCTAAGTATGAAGATAAAAGAACTATATCATTTATTTATGAACAAAACGAAAATCGATAATCTCCCCAAATAAATATACAAATGTTTTCAGGATATTTTCACACCTGCTTGGTAAGGTAATAGGTAAGGGTTTCTTCCATCGAATGACACCAACATTTTTGACGACGTGTTATGTTTGAGTGAAGAAAAAGATGCCAAATTCAGATAAGACAGGAATATTTGTTCTGGCTCGTATCAGCAAATGTGAGAGTTTTGTAGGTGGAAAAGAAATGACAAGAAACTGTATAATTCTTTTATCATCGAAGTATGTGTTGACATGTCAATATTATTATTCTATGGCTTTACAGGTGAGGCTATAAAGATCAACAACAGATCGTATATTACTGGTTTAATCTATGTTGTCCTGAATACAACATAACATGGTGCTACATATTTTAATAGTAAAGAGATGGTGACGACGTTTACAAGCTTGCCGTTATTTTCAAGTTTAAACTCAGTGGTGCCTTTAATTGATATTGATTGATCGGTTAACTGTTTGCTTAGTTGATTTTAATAATCTATTGATTGATTTTTATTTCTTCATCAACTATTTCTTGTGATATTCTATTTCCATCATAAAGTTATACTTCACTACACACAAGAAATCAGTTATTTGCTCACTCTAGCATAACATTTTCATAGGACATGTCCAGACATCAAGCGAAAAATGTTTTTTGTTTCATAACTTGTCTTTTAATGATCATGATGGTTATGACAGTTCCTAAGCAATTTCAAGATACACGATTTCAAATTTATCAGCCAGACTAATTATAAATTCTGGTCAAGTCAGGATTTTTCATCCTTTCTTAAAAGAAACTTTTATTTTACCAACCGATTTCTTTGATTATTCTGCTTTCAAACGATTTAAATTGTAACATTGCCCGCTAAAATTAAATCTTTTTTTTTTAAAGAATTAAACAATAAATAGAATGCATGTTTTAATGATTTTATATTTTTCGAAAACGTTCTACCCACTATCTTTTCTTTTCCTGTTGGCTTATACTTTTGCAGAAACAGAGTCAAGTGCGCTGAAAAACCACAGAGAGGAGCTGGATAAACTCAAAGATTATCTGCAAAATTATAGACAGATAGAATGCATAAACAACGATAAGGCGAGGCCAGAAGTAGTTCATATTGGACTGTATGGCGAAAAAGGTTCTGGAAAATCGGCTTTAGCTAATTCTCTTAAGTTTGCTTTCACTGGTAGGTAAAGCAGCTTAATACCATTTTACAAGCACAACTGTTGTTTTTTAAAAAGGCATTTAATCATGATAAAATAGTAATAATAAAAATAACATCAATAATAACGATAATAATGTTGACAATGATCATTATAATTATAATAAATGGAGGGAGGACAGCGAATTAAATCAATTAACGATTTAGAAAATGACTTGCTGTAATCAGTACAAAAACTGACGACCATAGATATCTGCATGAAGTTCGGATCCTGTTTTATCTACCAACTGAATATTAGGTTTTTTTAAATAATTGATAGTAATAGATAATACGAAAAAAATAAAAACAATATGTCTTTATACTGTTGTCCCTAAGGGTCTTGTAATAATACTATCACTACAGCTCCAGGATGTCGTATTTCTATACTACTCATCATTAAATTCGTACTCTAGATCAGAATTTCACTTGTTAAGCGTATGAATCCAAATGTCTCACTAAAAAGTGATATTTTGATCACGATCAGAATCTCATTGGTGTTGTGACTTTTTATCAAAATCTAACCAATCCTAACTATAATGGCCGTGTTATTTAAACATCGATATTTTCTACCCAACAATTTATGCACAACGTTTGAATGTTGGAGAGAGATAGTCACGTCACCCGAATGTGCTTCTGAATGGTCAAGCATTTCACCAAGTTGTAAAATACATGTAGTCGTACCATACGAAATGCACTTGATTTGTCCTTACCTAAAAATGAGAACTTTGAGGTACCAAAATTGTCCTATCCCATCTTTCACTCGCTCCTTCAATAATAAATAGAGGCTTATGTAATATCAGTACGTTATATGTACATGTATTTCAGCAATATAATTAATATGTGCAATATTAATTGTCATGGTGCTTGGCACAGCAGGTTCTTCCATTCATTCTTCTTTTGATATTGCATGTACTTTTATCCTTCCTCTCACTTTCTCATCCCTTTTCTCTTTTTGAACTTTCTACTTTTCAAATTTCCTTTTCTCTTCTCAATCTTTATTAATCTCTATTTATATACTTCACTCCCATCTCCTCTCTCGTTATTTCTCTCTCTCTTTATATATATCTCTCTCCCTCTCTCTCTCTTCCTCTTTCTTCCTTCGTCCCTCCCTCCTCTCTGTTTCTCTCTCTCTCTCTATCTATATATATATATATATATATATATAGATATATATTTATATATCTCCCTCCTCCTCTCCACCTCTTTCTTTTCATGGTAGTTCACCGTTTCCTTAAACTATTATTTACAAAATACTTTTTTTTTCATGGTTGAATGCCCGTGAGAATGCTCCTAATGTATTGAAATTAGCTTCTTCGATTCTTTGAAATTTTTCTCTACGCAGGTACATACGATGATTGCGCCAACGAGATGCCAATGCACCTCGAGGGAACAAGGTATAAACAGCGCATCCGCATTACAGAGCATATACACATCATTGACAGTAGAGGAATGAGAGACATTGATGTGAGGCAAATAAGTGACGATATAATACCCCAGATTTGTAAGTGTTCTTTACATCAAACTAATATTCTTATATTAAATAAGGACAGGAAATTGTGTTCGAATACAGGAACCTAGCCATGGGTTAGCAGTAAAATTCATCAGTTAAAGCGCAACCTCACAAAAATAAGATAATATTAAGTTACCTAAAATGTCATGAAAATGCGAAAAAATGCACGAAAAAATGATGCTTCCCTCCCCCTACCCTCCCTCCCCCTCCCCCCCCCCCCCCCCAGTCCCCAACTGAAAGGCAAAAACCAACAACTTCGATTTACTAGTCATTTGTGTATTTTAGACTTTATTCATATGTTATGTTTTTTATAACAATATCTACCAAGGTCAGGTTGCAGTGGAGTAGTATAGTGTGCAGTGGGCTTTAACAAATTCGAATTGAATCGTAATTGTCATCGTGCAAATGTGGGGCGTAGCTTAGGATTCAACATACCTGTTGGCAAATTGGGGTGTCACTCCTCAAAATCTGTCGGCAAATCTGGGTGTTAGCCCTTCACCCTTTCTACGTGTTCTAGCGACGCCCCTGAACATATCAACCATAATTACCTACCGTTCATTTTTTAACTTGTAAGTGGAAAATAAGAACATGGAGTCACAATTTGTGCAATTGTTGCTAAAAAAGAAGAACAAATTATTTTGCTTTGCAGGTGGCAAGCGTGGAGTCGATTTTCACAACAGGGTTACAGGAGGAATAGTGATACACTGCCCTGTTTTTGTCTGGAAATTTGCAAAGACAAGGTAAGATATATAGAACCGGAGTTCTAGCGTCATATTCGCTCTTCATCCATGTTACTGGTTCTAAACAACGAGCATGATTATGAGGTTCACCGCGAAATCATTCAAGCAACGGCCTGGAGCAGGGCAAATTTAGTGTTTGGGGCTGGGGTGACCCGTCCACCCCTGTTTAGCAATCAATTGTTTGGAACCAGCGAAAAATTGTCCAGTATGAAGTCAAACTTCGTTTAGTATAAGGGATACTTTACCATTTGTGTCCACTATACGATTCGCTGTAAACAGATAGTTAACAACCATGACATGGCGAGCGTTTTGGTGTCAACATTACTCTAAAATTCAAATGTCAATTCAACAGTCGAAGGGAAAACAAGTAACAACATTATCGAAATGGTTAATATACACTTTTAACACGCTGGATCCAATACTTCAAAGGTTTAATTTAGCTTTAGGGTAGATGACTGCTCGCATCACTTAGTGCTTCTCTGAAGGCAGACTTAACGTCATATTTCAGAGGTTTCCATTCATGTGGATCTATCATCTATCAATGAATTAATCAATCAATCAGGCGGAAAATATGATTTTTTTTTTTTTTAATTCAAGTCTTAGAAATTTTGGGACGTACATTTCCATAGAATAGCCTAATAAGTGTATTCTGCATTCTCGGGGTATGACGTGCACGATTTTGTTTCAAGTCATTGGCATTATTATATTTTCTTCGATTCGTTTATGTGATTGCAGCTATTGTCCCAAAGGTGCAATGGCGGAGTTTATTATAAACCTTGACAGTGCCGTACTTGATCACTACGGTAAGTTGATAACTTATTAAACCGCTTTTTCGTAGGAATTAAATATCGATACTCCCCAATACTAGTTTATTTCATGGATAAAATATGACATGCTAAACGATATGACCATTTTGGGGCTTGTCATTTTCCAAATTTGTTACGATCAACGCTAAACAAAAATTATCATGTCCATTATAGACATAAAAATGAGCTGTTGAAGTTGACATAAACCAATTTTGTTGATAACTGTGAACATAAATTCGAATCAGAGCATTTATCTTTATCTTGTCCAGGTCGACATTTGATGGTAGCGATTATTCATGAGAAGGAACTGCAACCGCGTGAAGACTTCCCAGCTGTAAGCGCGCTTCTTCCGAAAGACCATGTATGGATGTTTGAAAACTACACTCTGGATAACCACGAACATAATGACGAAAAAAGTATTGCTATTCTCAAATTCCTCAAGAAATGCGTGAACGTGGGAGAAAGGAATATTGACTTTGAAATGGAGATACGTGTCGAAAAGTAACGCTGTTAGGTCGAATGTTGAGTTGGTACTACTCATAATCAGATGCATTTCCATGAATATTACTTTTTTTCTTTTAAGGAGTGGTGTAGGCAAATGCCACTTGGATAAGTGACTGTTTTCAAAGGCAGGATATTCTACTGACATGACTTCAGATTTACGTATACTGCCATCTGCTGTACATGATACATGAGTACAAAGTTTATAATACTGAATATTATTTATTTGAAATCATCTAGATCAACATATTTTATTCTGTTAAAGTGCAACAGCGTGAATCATACGCTCATGCTGCTTTTTACAGGAAAGCCATCTCAGCTGTACTTGAATATTTACAACATTACCAGCCCATATACAAGAGGTTTAACTTGGAGGATACATAGTTTTATAAGGGTGGGAATGGCACAATCGTTAGGTCTAGAATAAACTGGGTTTAATATGGAGAAACATATACCAAATTCTTGTCAAACTTGGAAAAGGCAAATAAAGCCCGTACAACGATTTGCAGATTAAACAATTGTGATTAAATTCTGATTGACGCTTAAAGGGATAGTTGAGTTCTGTTGCAGAGGGCGCTACACAAAATAATTATTTTTGTGAGATAATGAAAAAATGAGTGTCAAATTTGAAATAACATACAATTTAAATGACAAAATCATCTTAGTTTGATCAAACGGCTGAAATATTCATAAATATAACAATTTCTAATATTTGCGTATTACCACAAATATTAGATATTTTCCAGCCAATGCCGATGATGGCTTTTGTAGTTATAATACGCACCAACCAGCCGGCCAATGTATTGTTATTATAATTAATTACTTAGCTGACAGTGACCGTATTTTTGTTTAAAGTAAAACTAAGTAGGTATGATCGTATTCGCTGAATTTCACACATTTTGGGGTCTAGAATTATGTACTTTCATAGCAATTTTAGGTCATAAAAAAGGCACTAGAAATGTCATGAATAAGAGCAATGCTATTTGATTCTGCCATGTTTCAAATTGTGTTAAACTGGCCAATTGTAATATACGTAATATTCGGGCAATTAGGCAATATCTTTCACCTCAATCCACCCAGCAGTTAGTACATGCTTTCGTTACTTCGCACCTTGATAATTGTAATTCATTACTCTTTCGACTACCCGCCAACCAAATTAACCGATTGCAAAAAGTTCAGAATGCTGCTGCTCGTCTTGTAACTAACTCTATAAGATCATCACATATCACTCCTATCTTGAAATCTCTGCACTGGCTCCCTGTTAAACAGCGTGTAATCTACACATTTCTATTCTTAGCCTATCGTGCACTAAATGATCTAGCTCCAGAATATATTTCATCCCTTCTGTCACCCCACTCCGCATGTCGTTCTGGTTTACTCTCATCACATCACAATATTAGGCTTAAAGAAATACGTACCAAAAGAAATTGGGGGATAGAGCATTTGCATCAACAGCTCCTTCTTTGTGGAATAAGTTACCTTTCTCTTTTCAGACGGCCAACACTCTTTCTACTTCAAAAAATGGGCTTAAAACTCACCTGATGCTCAATAAAAATTGTTAAATTTCAATGTTCTTTTTATACAATACAATACAATGCCTTGAGCATCTCTAGAGATGGATATGTTACGCTTCATAAATATTGTTATTATCATTATTATTAACCATGCAATTTTAAGGCATTCGTGGTCTGAAACAAGAACTCAACTATCCTTTTAAGTGATAAACAAGCATATTAAATCTTTTGCTCAGACTTGTACAAAAAAGAAGAACCTAGAGGTCTTACTAACTGTACGTTTTTTTAACCAAATGTCCTCACCAATGTCCTCTCTGGACCTCTAGGAAGAATAGAGCCATTTTAATAATGGCTCTGAATAGAGCTTTCCAGCCGTTTTTTAATTCTTGATTTGTATTATTTGTAAATTGTATTCTTGTATGTATTGAATTTTTATACGGAAAATAAAACCAAACCAAACCAAACCAAACCAAGATTATCCTCCAACCAACAAAATGTATGTAAAAAGGAGTTATCTCTTGAAGAATGTACAGCTTCCTCATTCTCTATTGCGAAAGAAAATCAGCTTTAAACTTGGACCCTTCTGGTAGATACTCTAAATTTCAGTTTCAGGGAAGGAAAGTTGTCTATATAACAGCGCCAAGGCATCATCACTTTAATATAAAAATGTGCAAGGATAAAATGTTTATAAAAAAAAACTACAAACCCATACCAGCTTTAAATGTTGATGTCAATATAGGTTCTTAAGCCCTGGCACACAGACTCAAAACTATTTCACCATTGATAATGAATCCAGATCAAGTTGCCTTTGTAAGATAGATACATCGGTGAGGCTATTGGAACAGTGATATAGACCCTTTTTTTTTTTACTCTGGAATATACAAATTCCCGAAAATGTATCAAGTAACGACTTTAGAAAAGCTTTTGATTCGGTTAAATCATCAATTTTTGATAGAAGCGTTGATGTGCTTTAATTTCGGAAATATTTTTTTGCAACTGCGTTAGTGTTTATTTAAATGAATTGTCATATGTTAGTTGTGTGTTTTTTCAGTAGGAAAAGGGACGAGACAAGAAGACCCTCTATCTCCCTGTTGCTATATATTATTAGCAATCGAAACTTTAGCTACAAGTAACAGAATGGACCCAAATATCGAAGGCTCAAGGTTAAATGCTTCTCAGGAAATTAAACTCCCTTTGAATGCAAAAGAAATTACTGTATTTTTGTCGAATTCCGAATCATATTCTCTTCCAAGAGCTTTGTTTGATGAAATTCTGAAATGTCCGTTACTTTATTTGAATTATTACGAGACAAGGAGCAATTTTAATCTACGGAATCCACCACGCATAATAAACCACGAATTTCGTAAATGTTCTTAAAATTCTTGGAATTCACCTTGAAATATTGACATATCCTACAGTTTTGAAGATAGAATCGCACAACTCCAAAAAAAATTATCAAACCTGTAGATAGCTAGAAATGTCTTACTGTACGGAAAATTCAAATAATAAAAAAAACTTTTGCTGTATCTCAATCATTATATGTAGCCAGTATAGTTTCAATTCCTGATTCTTGTATATTTTAAATTGATAAAGTGTTATACGAATTCGTATGTGGAGGTCCAGGGTCCAGACAACATAAAACGTGGAATGTTGGTGAAAGATTATAAAGAGGGAGGTCTAAACATTTTTCAAAAAAGAGGGAGGTCTAAAGATGATTTGTATTACATCAATTTTGCAACCTAAGAAAAATAAAAGGTTAACAAGGTTAGATCAAGGTATACAGGTTGGAGATCCAAATGTTGATCAATCCCTTATCTTTTCACATTGATTCTATTATCTGTCCCCACCCCATGGCGTTTCAGTATTCCACCTTCAAATGAATTTATCCTCCTCAGTCTCTAAATACACAGTTCGAAAGACGATATTACATAGATATTACATAGACTTCCATGATTATCCATTTAATCATCAACCTTAATGACAACTTCAGTAACATGTATGACACAAACAAAACAACCAATATTACTCCTATTCATTCTTTAAATAATGGTCATTATAAAGTAGTGTACAACTGATGTAAATTATTGATTGAGTATGAAAATGACTGATCCTTTTCTATTCAGACCATGTAAAGCAGTCAATTGCTGCTTATGAATGGCAAGCCATGTCTCGGTGCCAAAAGTAGCATCCGTTTAATGTATAATTTCACTCTTGATAAACAAAAATTGTACCTAACGGCTGAACTTGTTAAAGGACCTATACACTCAACAAGGCTACTCTGGGAAATAACGTCAAGTCAGTTATTTTCATGTATTTTCGTTTAAATCTTTAATCGTCTTATGATTGTTCATTCTGACATGTACTTTATGACGAAAGTATAAGTTTATAGCCTCTGTAGGATTATGCATGTTATGCCTTTGAACATGAAAGTAGTTCAAGAATAAGCCTTTGATATTTGATTGTTGGTTCAACTGCATAAAACATATGGCTGTGCGTGTGTGTGTGGGTGTAAAATGGAGGTGTTGTGTATATGCGGTGGGTGTGGGTACTTTGAGTTTTTAGAAGAGGGTAAATGATTGGGAGTGCTAATGTCGTGTGGTTGTGTATGTGTGTACTAATTATAGTATATTTATTGACGGGGTTTACTTGCTGAAGTTGAAATAAAACCAAATCAAATTAAACCCGCTATGTTCCTAATATTTGTACTTAACATGTATGCGTAACTGTTATATTTGTATTACTTAAAGTGTATGTACATAGCTGTGTACATGTATGAAAAAACAAGAATTCGATTTTATACACGACAATAAACATGTATGCGGGGCCAAAGGAAAACAGAAATTGTGTTTAATTGTATTGAAAGGGTTTCCTTGTTGAAGTTGAAATAAAACTTATCAAATTAAACCCACTATATTCCTTATGTTTGTAATATACTTAATATGTATGCGAAACTGTTGTATATTTTCTTATGTTTCATCTTTTTGACTCTTTTAACGTGCATATTGGTGGTTTGATAATTTTTTTTGAATAAATTCAATATCGAACGACATTTTAATGTATTGTGCTGTATTTGAGTTATCTACAAAACACTGAACAATATCTGCCTTAGGCTTTAAAAGGGTTTTTAGTGAGGCTAAGAGGAACAGGATGATTTTATCACTTTCATTATTGATAAGGTATCATGCACTAATATTCCTTTAACATGTTGAACTTCAGATTTATAATATGCTTCATACCAGCGACTTTTCAACCGGGGTGCTGTGGCACCCTTGAGTGCCGCGAGAGAAATATTTTGCATCCATTATGAAATTAACGTCAACTTCGTGAGAAAAAAAAAATTTGAAACCGCAATGTATTTTCACGCTAAATTAACATTTTAAGAAGCATGAGGTGTCTTTTTTCCTCGCTCGCATCGCTACCTCGCTATAAATAGTACCTGAGTACCCACATAATTAGTCAACGAGGTGCACAAATATCTCTTTGACTGCGAGATAACCGAGTTTCGTCTCATTTGGGCAGCAAGGTGCCATATAATTTTCATACCGAAATTACATTTTTACCAACGCTCGTTTGTTTCACTCGCTCGGAACATTTGTATTCATGTATTGGGTAGAGAGGTGCCCGCTCAAATAATATCATATTTGATCTAGTGTGTTTTCTTTACAAAATAATACCATATTAAAAATGTCATTGTTGTTATTTT